AAAAGGTGTCCTCGTGCGTTTTGCTGCAACGCATGTTGCATCCACAGGATCGGCAGGCGTTTTTTGTGGCTGTCCTCTCAATGAAATTCAGAATATACTTTCTTTACCTGTGCAACGGTGTGTCTTACAACCAGACACAGTTCTCTTATGAATATTTCTAACGTGAATAAGTATTTTATCGAAATATTTTACAACAATGTCACCCTCCCTCTTTAAATACTACCGCGGAAAACACGAACTTGCCATCTCTGTAGTGCCCGCAATTTTAGCAGCCTTTTCGTCTCTTTGCACGCCCCACGGAAAGTTTTACTTTTCGGACGTAAATTTCGACGAGAGTCAGCTTTGGTATTGATTCGAGCAATGATGAAAGGGGCTTCGGTAGCAATTCTCGAATTCTTAATCAGTTCGTGGAATTTACAACTCTCCCATCTTTTCATCGTACGTTCTCGTGAACACAGGGCGAGTTCACAGTTATGATTTCGATGTTCCAAATTGGGCAGTGTAGTCCTATTTCCAAGTAAAACTTACCAATTTTAGAGCACCAGTGCAGCGGGCTGTTATTGAAATTGGTAGACTAAGAGAAAATAGAGCATCGAAACATTCCAGATGGAGCACGAAACATTTTCAAATCGCCTTCAATTTTTCACGATACCGCCCGACCATCGTTCGAGGTGAAATAGTAGTATCCTCGCGCCTGCCAATAGTTGTACGTTTTCTCCTGAAAACCCGTGTTTTATTGACGGAGATTTGGCGACGTCTGAAGGTTTATACGTCATTTTTCTCTAGCACTGCAGTCTATTTTTTAACTGTACAGATTTATCTTTGAATTGGCAAAATACACCTTCACAGGTTAGAAGGTATCAATGCAACTTCTAGAGAACGGTTGCGGAACGAAACATTTTCAAATCGCCTTCAATTTTTCGGATACCGCCCGACCATCGCTCGAGGTGAAATAGTTGTATCCTTGCGCCTGCCAATAGTTTCACGTTTTCCCAGCCTCGCTCGCATTGAGCGAATGTTTTCCGGTGCAATTTCTTCACTATACGTTCGGTATGAGGAATAACGTCGTAAGATCATTCAAACGGTGCCAAATTTCTTCCAATTGAGCCTTTAATCTCCATTTTGGAGGAAAGTCATTTATTTTTCCTTGAAAGTTTCAGATATTTTAGATTAAAAAATTTGAAATATTTGAACTGGTTTTCCTGAAAATGTTCGTGTACTACTTCATCGTCGTATTATATCAATAACTCACTTTTAAGTTTTCGAACCACGGCACCTCTTCACGTAGACGGTTACGACGGTAGACGTAGAGGAGGAAATTCAAGAATTGCGAACATAACGTTTTTAACGAACTTCTTTCAGATTTATTGCTTATAGGGTTCTCCAGCTTGACTCGACTCACCTGAACCTGATCTCAATTCCAGACGAGAAGCATAGAAAATTCGTCGCTCATTAAGACGACCAGGGTGAAAACGAAAGGGGGGCGAAAATAATTGCGGATCCGAAATCGAGTGAAAAGCGAAAAGCGCACTGCTCGCTGAGGACCGAATAAAGATTTTCATTATATTGCCACACGTTTGCCGTGGCGCGCTGCGTTTCCTTCTCTGACGTGCCAAAGAAGAACGCCGTATGAGCTTCCAGATGTTGCCAAACTTTCCTATAAAATACTAATTTTCTGAGAAGCTCGTGATATCAACCAATTTTTCAGAGAATTTTACTCGAAAGTACACAAGTTATTTGGCCGCCAAATTGTCAGTGATTGTTCCTGTGTTTTTTCGAAAAGAAACAAGTTAACTTTATAGCTTAAAATTTATACAGAATATTCTACTAAGAGAGAAGAAAAATCAAGTAAATCTGAATGAAAGTACGTCGACTAGCTTTCCAAAGAAAAAATAAAGTGTGACAGGAAGACTGCAACGTCGCAAACGGAGGTACGTTCCGCACTTCAGCTATCGGTGCTTTCTCGAAACTTGACTTTTGACGATCACACCGACCCATTCAAATATTCTCACTTTTCCTTAAAAGTAAATATTTTATCGACGGAAATTTGGCAACGTCGGGATGTTGATACTCCGCTTTTCCCTGGGCCCGGGAGTTTTTGTCACCGGCTCAACAGTCGAGACGGGAGCTTTCTCACTCCGCCGTCACCGAGACGAAATTTTAACGAACGTCATTTCTGCGACTCGGAGCTAAGTACAATATTAGCGCTCATTTTGCTGCGCAGTCATGCGACGTCTTCAAATGACGGATCCAACCC